AAGCAGTAGAAATATTCCCCATGATTAAAAAAAAAAAAATTAAAACTTAGGCAAATGCCTAATTACTTACATGTGCCAGCACCTCTCGCTCCAGGCTGAAACAGTCCTGGCTCCCGAATGGCTGTGAAGAAGTGTGCGGGCACATGCACAGTAGAGGTGAGAACACAGACACTGAAGCTCAATTGACAGACGGGAGCGCATATTGGACAGACACCGTGGGACACGAGGAGTCTGCGGTGGATCAGAGACTATCACCAGCGCTGGAGAGACTCGGAAATAAGTGGAAAGAAGAAGATAATCTCTGCAAGAGGCATCAAAAAAGGTAAGTGTTTACAGCAACAACAAAAAAAAGTTACCTTTTGATGTCACTTTAAGTGGATATATTTTTTATATTCAGAAATTATTATAATTTAAAAGCCCATCAAGTTTTTTCTTTAGACTTTCAAAAGCTGTTTTTACAATCTGGATAGACTCAAAGTGCATCTATACCAACATTTTTCATTTATTTTTTAGTTTCGGATAAAGTGGAGATTTCCCTCACTTTCATTTATGGATACATTTAACCAGTCTGGAAGTGAGGGACAATCTACAACAGGAAAACCAACAAGAACAACAAAAATAGGTGAAAGGCGTTCTAAGATTACTCTTATTAACGTAACATGGGCCTTTCTGTAAAATGCTTACACTGTCTGGCAGCTGTCATTCCTGGGCTGAAGCTATTCAAGCATCATGTGCTTACAATACACTTATTTAAAAACATTTTTTTTATAAAAGGTGGGGAAAAAAAGTAATTATTTTTTTTGGGGGGCGGGGGTGTTTTAGTCTGACAAATTCTGCTGCGTGAGGTGTGTTGCAGTGCCATTCATTTCAATGGCACCCCACAGTGTGATCGCCTGCACTTTAACGCACGGTACCACAGCAAAACATTGTGCATGCAATTTTATTCTGAAGTAAACTTCAGTAAACTAAAAAATTTAATTTAATTTTTTTATTCGATTAAAAAAAAAATCTGAAAATAATCTTTAGTTGCAGCCCTATTAGGTATAGACATGTACCTGTAAGGTAAAAAGTTGGAGTTTATACGTGCCTCATCCCCATCTCCCAGTCGCGATGCTAAAATGAGGGTGATTGTTGTACTTACCTCTAGCTAGATCACACGTAATACAGAGCCAAAGAAGATCCTCTTGCAATGGATTGGAGTGTCTTCTCACCAGTTTTCACCTGCTTCACATTCCCCAGCAATCTTCCTGAAAGACAGGATGCATTGTACTGCAAGCACCACTTAAAAAAAAAGTTGGGCTTTTTTTAATCAAACAGGAAGTAAAGGAATCTTTCCAACAGAGCTTCCAGTGGCAATAAAACCTGACAGTTGTAATCTTTCCCCATTCTGTCCACAACTAAAAAGTATTTAGAGCTGAAAAGCCAGACAGTCCACAGTGGAGTCCATCAGGCAACATTTTGCTGTGCTGCTGGTTGGTTTTCTCTGTGGCCAGAAGTATTAAAACATTTGAAACCGCCATCTATTGTCTCCATATTTTATATGCTTAAATGTTTCGTTTTTTTGTCCTCACTGGGGAGATTCACTATTTGTTCTGGTAACAGTAACTGGAAAAGAAAGTAAAAAGATGTTTAGAATTGTAGAGTCATCTCTGGAACAGTTGGAGAAGTGAAATATTCCAATGGAATGCCTGTTTTGGTGACAACCTTCCTCTCATTTTGGAGTGATTTTCTCCCACTTCATGTTGTGCCTCCTAGGATAGTAATGCAAAAAAAACAAAAAAACTGTACTCCAATCCAAAGCTGAAGAATAATTTTGTCTTTAGATATATATGCTTGTTTGCTATCATTCTTTTTTGGTGCTTATCAAACATGTATCCTTATCCCTTTTTGTGCTTTTTTTTTTTTTTTCCTCGGTTGCCAAGATTTCTGCCAACTTATATTTTTAGTAGAATCAGAATGGTCTGATTTGGTAAATCGTTAATCATACATTTATCAGATTGTTAGTTGGTATTTATTTTTATAATTCGCACTCAAATACTTTTTTGTGAGTCAGCTGTATCCAGTGTATGTGTTGCAAGGAAGAACCGGAATATGATTAATACATAATTTCATATATTTGGTTGCGAATATACACTGAACCAAGAAGTCTGGGAGTTCTGGTAGCTGTGAAAATGTATTGCATTTGACATGAAACAGTTCTCTGTAGTATAAACATATATCAGAAGTGACTATTTCTGCGGCTTGTGCCTCTGGTCATATGTGTGACCCAGCTCTTTTAACATGGCCTGGATGAAGCAGCAAGAGGGAAATAAACAAGTCTTTAGAAAGAGAATCCTGTAAACACAAGTCAGGTTCTGGCCCAGTAATTCGATTTGTTGCATATTTCTAGCTACATAATTTAAAGCCCAATTCCAGCCAAAAAACACTTTTTGTAGAGTAGAGAAAGGTTAGAACCTCTTTGAGGTTTTGTTGCTGCCTGTGTCTTTCTGTCTCAGTGACATACATTCCAAAAATGTTGACCAGACTTGGGCTTTAACTAACCTAAGAACAATGGAATGTCCAGTTTGCAGAGAGATCCTCATGTCCTGTAAAGGGAACCCATGACTATTGGCCTAATGCAAGAAAAAGTCAGCCTTCAAATAGTATATTTATGCTGGCTTACCTAAAAAATATTCATATTTACCCCCTTTTTTCCCCCATTGAATTTAAAAAATGAAAGGGACTGTCTCCACAGTAGATGGTCCTTCTATTAATTTTTACGGACCAGGAACACATACGTACAGCACAACCAAGGTGCATGGCTTCGTTTCCAGTTGGGAAAGGCTGTCTGTTAATGGGAGGCCAGAGCTGTGAAATGTATGGCTATATCCTTTTAATAGGGAGGGGGAGACTTTGCTGTACTTTTATCGAAAAGTACTTTCACAGGCAGGTGAGGGTGAAGCAACAAAAAGCCAAAATGTACGGTACCAGCCTGGCCAATAATAATGAAAACACGACTCCCCCAATCCAAACATGGAAAAACACGCACATGGACTGCCATGATTCAAATTATACTCTTGTTAGGCACGCACTCCTGATATTTCCATTCCAAGAACTCTGGTCTCTAAACAAAGACTGGCTAGTGCTGTCACAGACAAGAGCAGGCTTACTTTGGGGTCTATTCACAAAGCTGCCGAAGGATCTGGCCGTAGCTTCGGCCGATCCTTCGGCTAGCTTCGGCACCAGGACCCCTTTGGTTCAGGAGAACCGAGGGGGTGCTGTACGGGCTATTCACAATAGCCCATCCAGCTCCCGATCACGGCCGAGCGGCTCAGTCGAGCGCTGAGCCGTGCTGAAAGCCGAAGCTGGCCGAGCGGCCGGCCATTGGCCGGCCGACAGCCTGCTTCTGACAGCTGGGCGGAGCCAGCCGTGATCTAACGGTGTTCGGCTCACTTCACTTCTGATCGGTCATTCACTCGGCTGCCCTCGGCAGCTTTGTGAATAGACCCCTTTGTCTCCTTACATTTGTTTGTAGTTTACAGCAATTAAAAAAAATAAACCTTTTATTTATTTTACATTTAATAATCCAAAATGGTGAGCAGTGCATATATACAATAAATTAGAGAAGACATACATTAAAGAACAACAGGTGTTTTAAATACATTGAATTTATAGAAACATTGTCTAAACATTCTAAGGGATGAAAATGTGGAGCACACCCCCAGCAACTGCACACCAACCATATGGACCATAACTGAATTTCAAACGCCAGTCTTTATTACTGTTTTGGTGCAAAGTAAAGTTGTCAGCCACTAGCCTCTCCAATTGGATGTGAGGGTCTGTGTTGCATTTTCATAGGCATGTTTTGACTTGAAAGACATTGAACCCAACCAACTGTGTGGAATAATAAATGCAAATACATAGTTATGTTTAGTAATTGTGGCGCTCCTGTATCTACATTTGAGTCCAAGAATGGGTAACCTTTTATAGTCCTACTGAGATTCAGATTCATAACAACTCTCCAATATCCTCAGACTTTCAGCATGTTTATACTCTCATTAAATTCATCCTTGCAGCTACGTTTGCATTCACTTCTACAACTGTGTAATGAACATTATAGGAGTTGTGACATATTCAACTTTTTTGAAGTACAGTTTGGGATTGTGATAAGAAATATATATCAATTAACATGATGATATTCCATTCCAGTGGTGAGTAAAGGGCACCTTTTTCCCTGGCTACAGTATGGGGCATATTTATAAAGCGGTCAATGTGACTTTCACCAAACATTCTCTGCAGGTAAATCTTCCAGGTGTATCTGTTTTTAAATGACAGTGATTGATTCACCACCAGTGAATGTTTAGTTAAAATTACATTGCATAAATATGCCCCTATGTCTAGGAGCTGGCCAAAGCTAACTATTCTATTACATTCTTATCAAATGCATATTCCCTTTAATTATCATAGTGATATGAAATGCCTATTTGCAAGATCTGATGACGGTTTCATTGATGTTTATAGCCCAACTCCAGCACTCTTTAATCTTTATTCCTGGACAGTGAGTCACTTACGTAATGACACGTTTGCATGTCAGAGTACTGTGAGCCCAAGCTGTATGATGATGCTTCCCCCAGGGGCCATGTGCATGATGGCCTGGGCTCACGGGAAGTTGGTTGAACGATACAGAGAAAGTTGAATCACAATATGGTGAGTTTTCAGGGTACAGTGCTGGACTCGGGAGCTCAGTGTTATTGCCAGAGCTGTTTTATTTATTCTTTTACACTGCTGGACAATTTATTTTTAAACATTTTAGGAAAAGTGGAGTTGGCCTTTCAATTTTAGCTCAAAGCTTGTTGGCTTGGGTTAATGAAGCTTCGCAAGTACAGTTATACTTTCAAGTTGTGTGTTAATTATGGGGCGTTCTGTGGTTGTATATGTCCTAAGGTGCTCTAATTTGGTGCAAATGCCAAACACCAGCATGCTTATTTTCAATTTTTCTTTCTGCTTTTGTTTTTTACAAGGTGAAATTGCCACCACCTAAGAAAATGGCTTCTGCTAAACATAAATTTAAAGTATTTTATCCGGAAGAGTCATCTGTAGAGACTACAAGTGAAAATGTAATACAAGTAAGTACTGTGATCTGATTATGTCGTGCATCTGCCTAGCAATTCTCACCTTCTCCGCTTGTGAGATATCTTTAACATGAGGGAAGGTTAGAGGGTATTGCTGGGATTTTTTAAAGTTGAGGCAGTTTTGAGTTTTCTTTACACATCTGCTAGAAACTGTTATACAGGTGAAAGGGATCCAGGGTTTTTTTTTTCTTTCTACATCAGTTAAATGTGAATTGGTTGTAGCTGTAGATTCAGACTAATGTGGCTAGTCTTTTATTTATCACATATGTAAATGTAGCTTTCTGCAGATCTCCTGAAATTATTTAATTCATCCTAATAAAATATCCATTTTTTTTTTTCATTTTGGACAGAGTAGGGGATGGTTAGAACTGTTGTAGTTTTTACATAGTTTGCCATCTGTGTCTTAGTAGGAGGTTTCCCTTCCCCTCCTGTCCTATAGACTCCACAGGAAGTGGGAGGATATCTTATCAATTTGAGGGAAATTCCCTTTCAGTTGTCATATGAACTAGTATCTAATTTCCTGTTCTGGTGGTAACTCACAATTATTTTGGATTTGCCTTCACTTTTATTCCCTGTGACATGGGTGATTAGAACACTTTCCTAATGGACACGCAGGCAACAAAAAAACCCTGAAGGGTTCTATCCCACCACCACTCTATCCAAATTAAAAAAAAAAGATAAAAGTTTTGCCTTTTAGTTATACATAACATTTTCAATAGGTATCTCCCTATCCTAGTTATTGAGAGCAGTTGAACATATGTTTCAGCTAAGTCTGATAAATCATTTTTTGCCAGGGAGATGGTGCAGTTCAACAGCAAAGTATACAAATACAATGTGAAAACAGTGGTATGGGACAAGTGCTTCCTTTTTATAAAGAAATGTGTGGCTAGATATTGTAGTATCAATCCCTTGTCCTTGTCCTAAGTCCTGTAGTTGTGCATTTTAGTCACACGTTTGAGTATGTGTCCTTTTTGTTTTTATCCGTTATATACTTTAGTAGTTAAGTTTGGAAAAAGGATATATACATTTAAATCTCTTTATATCTTGAAAAGAAATATATTACATATTTTTTATTTAGCTTTTGTTGATCTCTAATTTCTATTATTTTTTCCTGTCCACGACCATTAAAGCCTTGATTAGCTCAGAAATTATGCACTTCCTCCGCTCTCTGCACTTAACAGTTCATATCTGGTTTTTGTCCTGTTTGCTCTGCTGGGAGCACACTTCTCACATTACTTCATTTTTGTCATTTTCTATAGACCTTACTTTACAGGCTTTCTGGTGGCATGTGTCTATGTCTATTGCTACTTATGGGTTGGTCCTGCCAATAATTGTTGGAAGTGTTTTTTTTTTTTTTTGTCCCATTGGGGAGATTTCCTTTTCACTTCCTGTCCTATAGCCACAGCAGAAACTTAACAGGAAAGTTGTCACCAGAAAAAGTGGCCCCCATTGAAATATTTATTTCCTGTTCTGGGGACAACTCCAGATTTTTAACAAAAATGCACCTATGTTATGTGTATTTTTATTTAAAGCACATAGTTGGGCAGTTTTCTTTCATCTCATTTATCATCCTCAGACAAACAAAAACATAAATAATTACTTTTCACCTGTAGTTTTCCTGTCAAAACTTCTGCGGTATGAGCCATAAGACTAAATGCTTTATTCACAAGGTCTCTAGAAAAGGAAGGAATCAGTGTTCGAACAGAGCCATAGATTGGCTATTCTGCCTAAAAATGTGTTTGTTGGCATTTTGTCACTTGACCAGTATTATGTTTGTTGGTATACTTTCACTTGATCGGCATTAGAGGACTTGATTGGAAGTACTACAGGATAAAGGTGAGTTTTTGTTTGTTTTTAGTTGTTTTCCATTTGTGTTGCATTTTTACTATCCCTGAGGTTGATGAATGTAATAAAGAAAAGTTGGCTGGAAAATACAGCTCCTGTTCAGTAACGTGCTGCATAACATAGTGAAACAACCAGATAGATGTCAGCCTGCAGGACTATAGTGCTTCACAACAATAACAGCTGTTACTGGATACTTGGGTTACTACGTGTCAAAATATTTTCAAGTGTAAAACTTAAATCTGTGTATACTTAGGTGCTAAGAATTGTTGTTTCTGTTGCAGAAAACAATGCTTGTGGAACGACACGTTGGCAGTGGAACTGTTACTTTACCTATAGTTTCTGAAAGATTTGCGTCATCAACACAGGAAGAATTATCAAGTTCTGAATCTGAAGCCGATGGCAATTGTGAGGATGTGGTAAGAGTGCTGGCAAAGCAGTGTCCTTTTTATTTTGATGACATGGATATGTAATAAACGTATGCAAAAGATCATACATGCAGATGATATGCACCAGTCTTAAAGTATATCACTATCCCAAAAAAAGTAAGGAATAATTAAACCCCTGTCAGGTTTGTTTTTTTTTTTTGTGCTCTACTCTATTTCCCATTACCATTGCTTACTTACTGTCCTGGAGACACAACTGTAAGCAAAAAAAAATCTCTGCAGTTACAGAAAATACCCTCTTAGACACTTGTCTGCGGAACAACCCCCTTAAAGATTTCCCTCCTCTCCTTTTTGGGTGAGAACTGTAATATTTTGTGCTGAAGGTGTGCAAAGCAACCTGTTTGTTGCAGAAATGCTCAATACTGGTTCGTAGACCCAGATGGTGAGATAGCAGGTAAAGAATAACTGTAATCCTCCAGGGTTTATTAATTGTTAAATCCATTACACCAATAAAAACAGGTTTTTTAATGAATGGTTACTTTAGTTTAGGGTATGAACCAAACTCTGAAAAGGCCACAATTTGTGGAAGGCCACTTTTACAGGTATATTACAGGTATAAAATATATGTCTAATCATTTTTATGGTAAACGTATATGTTTACTGTAAGCTACAAAAAGAATCGTCCACACTTTTTTATTGATTAAGAGAAAAACACGATTTAAAATGTAATTTTGCTATCGTCCACTGAGGGGCACAGCTTGATGGTATTAAACAACGTAGGGTTACACTGCTACTTACAGTAGAAATGGGCACTAGGCACATAAAAATTGAAGGCCTGCCTCTTTAAGGCTATAACCCCTCTCCTGCCTCACCACTTGCTAGTTACGCTTCATGTCCTCAGGAGAATGGATATTTTCACTTAATTTGGAAGATTTTCTATTAACTGCTGCTGGTAGATTCATGCTGGATATTTAAAATCCTGGACTTCTCTCCAGGTCAGCCAAAGGTTTTCCCAGTTTTCTATACTAGTGTTCTTTCTGCAACATCCTCACGCTCTTAGTGATTAAAACCAGTGCCAGCTATCACAGGGCTCTGCGTTTAAGGTAAGGCTGGTGTATGTCTTGGAGATTTCCTTCTGAATGATGGGACTAGGACAGTGGCAGTAATTCTGACCCGTCTCTGACCACTCCATTTGATGAGTATGTCCAGGAGCATTTGGGATTTGAACCATGTGCCTTAATTTTTTTCTATTCTTTATTTTCCATTTGGCCAGTGTATTTGTGCTTCTGCTACGACCACAGTCCCCATACAACTGTTTTAATTTCTTTGCTGTTTGCACCCTGCCCCTGGGACTCCTGGAATTGACACAGATTACTTTTTATGCAGCCGTGCCCACCCTCTACATGGTGTCTGAGGTTGGTGGGGCAACTGTCTGAGGACATGGATGGCTGCTATCCTTTACTGCTGCACAGATTCTCTAACCTTGGACTACAGTGTGTCAATCACACTGCGGAACTTGGAGCACTTCTGATGGATTCAGAAAACCCCAAAAAGATATCTCCTGATTCTGCCACGTCGCTTGGAATACTTAGGCCCTCTCCTGACGACCTTTCCAGCAAAGGTCTTCCTACCCTAGATACCTTTTTGAAGACAAGGTCTTCCTTTCTCCATGAAAATGTTTTGAAATTGCAGGGTCAGGTTCAGTAGTTTCAATCCTGATCTTCCCTACAAAGCTGCATGTGGTTGATGGTATCATCCTTAACTTTGAAATAGTTCTATTTGCTTAGTTCCATTCCAGAACATCCTCACAGCACTTTGAAATAGTTCTATTTGCTTAGTTCCATTCCAGAACATCCTCACAGCAGGGGACAAGTCCAGTCATTTTCTGGAGAAGATGATTAGGTTGCGTCCTTGAACCAAGATGTTTTTCTGATAGCTTCTGTCCCCTGCATTGTTGGCGGGAAGGTTTTTTTTTTTCTTCCTTTGCATTGGAAGATTATCCAGGAGTGTTGCCATGGTGATGGAACTTGAATCATCAGAAGTAGAATCTATCCTGTTGGGGGTGAAGCTTCATGTTCCAGTGATCTCTGCGGTGCACATTCCCAGTGGCTGGCAGATTTCCTAAGCCTAAATTTTAATAATTTTATCCTGCATGGTCTCTTTTATGAGGAAGTGTTTCAAGACATACACTATATTGCCAAAAGTATTGGGACACCCCTTCAAATCATTGGATTCATGTGTTCTGAGAAATTTCCTTGCTACTAAATATTCCAAGGTCATCTGTTAGTGGTATTATAACAAAGTAGAAGCAACTGGGCACAACAGCAACTCAGCCACGAAGTGGTAGGCCACGTAACTTCGTGTGGCCTTCAGATTGGCACAACAACAGTGCGTAAAGAGCTTCATGGAATGGGTTTCCATGGCCTAGCAGCTGAACCCAAGTCTTATAATCACCAAGTGCAATGCAAAGCGTCGGATGCAGTGGGGTAAAGCACGCCGCCACTGGACTCTAAAGAAGTGGAGACGTGTTCCCTGGATTGACTATTCACCCTTCTCTGTCTGGGGCTGGTGGTTGCCAGGAGAACGGTACTTGCCTGACTGCATTGTCCCAAGTTTGGTGGAGGGGGATTATGGTTTGGGTTTGTTTGTCAGGGGTTGGGCTTGGCACCTTAGTTCCAGTGAAGGGAAATCTTAAGGCATCAGCATACCAAGACATTTTGGACAATGTCATGCTCCCAACTTTGTGGGAACAGTTTGGGGGTGGCCCCTTTTTCCAACATGACTGCACCAGTGCACACAGCAAGACATGGATAAAGACATGGATGAGCGAGTTTGGGGTGGAGGCACTTGACGGGCCTGCACAGAGTCCTGACCTCAACCCCATAGAACACCTTTGAGATGAATTAGAGCGGAGACTGCGAGCCAGGCCTTCTCGTCCAACATTAGTACCTGGCCTCACAAATGCACTTCTGGAAGAATGGTCAAACATTCCCATAGACACACTCCTAAACCTTGTGGACGCCTCCCCAGAAGAGTTGTAGCTGTTATAGCGGCAAAGAGAGGGCCAGCTCAATATTGAACCCTACGGTCTAAGACTGGGATGCCATTAAAGTTCATGTGCGTATAAAGGCGTCCCAATACTTTTGGTAATGTAGTGTATGTCTCCGTTGGGGAATGCTGCATGTGGATCTGCTGGATTCTTGGTTCAACAAAAAGCTAGATAGATTAATCTCCAGGGAGAGGGATCTGATGGCCGATGCAATGGAAGTCTTGGTAGCGCTGGGAGATCCAGTTCACCCTGATCTTTGCCTTACCTCCGCTGAAACTAATACCCTGTCTGCTTTTAAGGACTGAAAGGTGGTCTCTACTTTTCCCCTGCAATGAGGGTGTTGTGTTACCTATGTTTTTGGTTTATCCCAAGGAGATATAATTTCACTGTCTGAATGGTGTGAGGGTGCCATGCAACAAGGTGAAAAACAGCAAGTATGGGGGGCGTGGCCGGCGGCTGCATGTGACTGGTCGCATAACGGAGAGCTCCCGCTAAAAACAGCAAGTATAAAACTCTCAACACGTGCATCAAATTAATGAATATTAAAACTCTGAAGTTAATTTTGCATAAAAAACACTACTGGTACCATACACACCCCTGAATGCTTATGAAATGTAAATCCGTTGATTTTTTTGTTTTGTTTTTGTAGGGAACGGAGGACGCACAGATAGATTTACTGAAGGCACAGCTTGCTGAATGTCAAGAGAAACTGACACGGCTTGATTGGATGGAGGACAGACTGCAGGCATTGGAGAATAGTATGAAAGGGAAATTAATAATTGATGAGAGCGACTGGAACAACCTCCTCAGCCGTGTTCTTCTCCTAGAAACGGACCGATTGCTACACGCAAAAAAGGTCTGTTAGTTTCAAAAAAAACAAACTCATTTAATGACAGATTGTCATCTTCTGATCTTTCAAATTTGGTGTATGTTTTGCTAGCTGCTGTCAGATCTTGGGGGTGAAAGATTAAAAAGGTTAGACATTTTGTCCAATCTCTGATTTCCTCTAGATAAGCCATTATTATGGCATCCTGTGGTATATCTGCTTTGGGCTCCTCCGGCCCTCTCTAAAAGCATAAACACTAATGTACAAATGTTTGTGCAAATGCATTGTGTTGTTGGCAATGGAAGAATGCGCGTAAACTCGCAATAAACTCGCAAAAATGCTCACGGAAATGTACATCCTTCTGTTGCGTGTTTTTGCATTTCCAACTTTTAACTACCTATAGAAGCTCCTGTACCTTTTTGGGCGTTTGGCATTTTTCTGCTCAGGTGTGAACCAGGGCCATTGAAAATCATTGGATTTCTTGTGTTGGGGAATTTAAAACTGCTCAAAAATTTTTGAACTGCTCATAAACTACTAGGTGTGAACCAGGCCTTAGTGTTTCATAAATTGCATGATATTTTATTTATTACTAGTATTTTATATAGTGCTGACAAGTTTTTACATAGTTTCACATTCACCTGCCCTCAAGGAGCTTACCATCTAAGGTCCCTATCTCACATGCATACATACAAGGGCCAGGAGCCAATTAACCTTCCAGCATGTGTTTAGAGTGTGGGAGGAAACTGTAGTACCTGGAGGAAACCCACACAAGCACAGGAACATGAAAACTCCTTGCAGATAGTGACCTAGCTGGGATTCGAACCAGTACTGCAAGGTGCTGCCCATAATAAAAAGAAGTACAGACATTTAAAGGGAAACTATTATAGCTTGGGATCTCATATTATTGTTTTTTTTTTTTTCAGATTCATCATTTTTAAAATATTGTTTTATTACGATCTTGTTTTATGAGTAACCATTTAATGCATGACAAAGGATTCACAGAGAACTATGGGTTAACTGGAGACAAGACAGTCTGGCTTGAATCCTGTTTTGTTTGATTTAGGCTGGATTTATACCTTTCCTGGTGTGATAACACAAGCCAATCCATTTTACTGAACTATCACCATTTAAAACAATGGCTAGTTGTGTACATGTTTTGATGTGCATTAAGACATATAGGTAAAAGGGCCCTTACACTTCATCCTTGTCACTGTGATGGCACATTCATTTGTGTATGCAAATGTCAACTTTAGTTCAGTTAACCGACTTTTAAGAGCTCATGCACATGGCTGTAAAAAAAATGCAGCATATTTCTTCGTACAGCGTTTTTTGTTTTGTTTTATAGAGCACACAGCTCCATTAAAGATTCGTAAACGTGTGCTGCGTTCAGAACCATAAAAAAAAAATAGTGTGGGTTAATGTTTACATGACAACATCGCAAATGTGCTCTATTGGAGCTGCCTGTATCTTGTTAGGTTGGAGATAGCTCCTGCCGTCTAGCTTCCTACATTACTAGGATGCAGGTTACTGCTGTTGCGAGTACACCGGCAGCTCGAGCTGCCTAGCGTCCTTCGTTGCTAGGATGTAGCCAGCTCCTTTCTGCCTAGCGTCCATCAGTGCACGCATACAGTGTCCGACTTACATGCGTACAATGTACAGACCAGGTTTTATGTGCTTGCTGCCAGCAAGATCCTATGTAAAATCCTACGCCTCTGTGCATGAGCCCTAAGATGTGTATCTGGCCAGGAATGTGCCCTTGATCCCACCATGTACAATGCAGGTACAACCTGTGGGTAAGGTGTAAAGCAGAGGAATACTAACGTTACTCCCCAGTCCCGTGGTAGCCAGCGATCATCTTCGTTCATGCTTTAGACCCAGAATGTGGATGGCCCCTCAACGTCATCACATGGGGGGGTGGAGGGTCATACCTGACGTGGAAAAGAGGAACAGCTATAAAGGACCGGTCGTCCATATCAGAACCAGCAGTAGGGAAGCCAGTGGGACTGAAGAACAAGGTAAGTGATCCTCTCTATTTCATGCCCCTAAATAAGCATTAGGCCCTAATATATGGGATTTCCTTTATATGGGGGGATTTCCTTTTATAGCTGATTGAAGTTCAGCTTTAAATATTTCCTTTGAAATCACAATGCTGATGCCGCAGCTGTATTAAAGTACTGTATATTTTTATTGTATTAATTGAAGAAAATGCTTACTGTTTTCAGAGAGATTTGTCAACAGAATTCACTTCTATAAGCGAAGAGCGTACATCAAGCAGGATCACAAATGACATTTCTCCAGGTAAGTGTCTTCTAATTGAAGCGCAGCAATCTTCACTGTGCAGTCCTGCTGGACAATCCACTGGCCACGGATGGGGCTGCAAAATGCATGCGCACTAAAAAGATTAGCCAGCAGTGATATTTTTGGGAGGAAGGCTCTACTGCACATAGCAGGCAGCACTGCCTATGTTGGAACAAATTACACTTATAATGTTTAGTCCAGCATTTAATATCAAGTGATACATCTCTGTTCCAACTTTATTTTATCGTCAGCTATTTATTGCATACTCCTAATAAATTAATTAAGCCAAAAGTGCAATCATTTAGAGGGATTCTTTTTATATTTTATGAAAGGTAGACTTAATCGTTTTCCAATAGCAGTTGCTTGTGACCAAGAATCCTCCTCAGAACTCCAGGCATTCAAGAATTGTATGAAATATTCATCGCATCTCCTAAAATACATGTATTTAATTGGATATAAAAAGTTGTCACTTCAAGGGTTAGTTCACCTTTTCCAATAAAATGCACAATGCAGTCAAAGGTGCCCTATGCACTTTTAAAAACACTCTATGGGTTTAACATTTTGTAGAGTAGAGCTGCATCCTACCAGTCACCAAGTAACAGAAGTTGTGTTTAAAAACGCCACAAAGACGTAAGAATCAGTGGTCACACAGATATAATTTGTTTTGTTTTTTTAAAGGGTTAATTCTCCTTTGCAACAAAATGCGCTATGAAATCAAGGGTGCCCTGTACTGCTGCATACCCCCCCAGCATCACCGAAGTGAGCCTTCCTCTTTCAAGACCTATGCATCCTTGTCGTAGTTACGCTGAACTCTGCCTCTGCCAGCAATAGAGGGAGCACTGCACATAGGCAGGTCTTAAAAAAGGAGAGTACTTCCTCCAATGATACTGGGGGTGCAGCCAGTGTACAGGGTGGCCCAGATAACAGGCAGAACAGCGCAGAGTGCTCCCAGTAGTTGTTTTTCAGACAGGCTGTGGGTAAACTGTACTGGGCCTACAGGTATTGCGAATAAATTAAACTACCAACTTTAAACCTCTATGTTTCTCAAAAGGCACCCTTTAACTTCTTAGTGCATCTTATTGCAAAGGTAAATTTAACCCTTTTAAGCAAAGTTTTATATCTATGTGACCATTGATTTTTATGTTTTTTGTGCTGGTTTTTGATACATCTTATGTTATTTGGTGACTGGTGGATGCAGCTCTACTGCCATCTAGTGACGAGAAAATGATATAGTACCTCTTGTAAAAGGAAATTTCACTTCTTATACAACCATGTGATTTTAATAAGCTATTAATGTTATATTAGTTTTGTTATGTGTTTAAAATGTCTTGAAGTGTTTTATTATGTAAAAATAATGTGACACAGTTTTAAACTAACACTGGCCTACTTTTTATCTATTAATAGCACTAGCGGTTTCCTTATCTTCACAGTGATCAGCAGCGCATTCTTAAGTGCAAGGTTTAGATTTCATGTTGTCTGGGTTACTTGCTACTGCTCTGTGTCTATAATTTAACATTAAGAAATGCACAGAATGCTGCGCACAGACCAGTAACAGTGGCGTTTCATGTAAACATTGTATGTACATTCTGCATAGAGTAAATCAAGTTGTTTGATAGGTGGCACAGTAAAGAGACAAAGGTTATTTTAAAAAGAACATTTCTTCACAGATTTTAACACCAAGGTAGATATCCCAGAAAGCAATCATCAGTCGTCTGGATACAATTCCCTGCTATCTGCAGACGCATCTACCATAGCCAGTGACATCAATTACAGCCGCTTGACAGAAGACTTAAAGGTAAGTCAAACTGGGCAATGAATCAGTAAATTCCATTCTAAGGTCAAAAGAACAAGTAAGCATTACCATATATAAATGTGTTCTGAGCGGTACTGATACAACATTTATTGACGCTAATGAGCAGTATACAGAAAGTTGGCCATGATGTTTCAACTCTAAAGGAGCAGATGGCAAACTGGCTAATTTATAATGTTGCAGTTATGGTATTGATCCCAAACAATGCCGATTACTTGCCTCATGCCATGAATATTTCAGTTCACTGCGTGGTTTATGGTAATGAGCATTACTTAAAAGAGTACTTCTTATTTCATCAGTCTTCTTGGGTAGTGTAAAACTTATTTTTGCTTTCTTTCATTAAGAGAGACAGCTGTTGAAGATCAACCATGTAGACTTGTATATAGTTGATATATCAATGAATAGTTGTGTCTTTTCAGTAAACCCGGAAAAAATAATTTTATGGGAATACAAAAATTCTATTTTACATGAGTGTAATATCATTCAGAAAGTGTTCTGAATAAAAGTGTGCTCGGTCATTAAATATAATTTCACTAGAAGTGTATTTATACTTTAAAACTAACCGGTCAGTTGTGTTTAAAAAATAAATCAATAATCAAATTCTGCAGCTATAAAGTGCAGGCACCTAGGGCAACAGCTCAAACATGTCTGCAGATGCAGTCAAATGCTGGGCTGCTCTGACAGGCCAAGCTTCAACACTTACAGGTAGAGATAAAGCCCTAGTCTCATCCCTGACATTTCTATAGGCACATCATTATAATAGGCTGCCTAACTGGCCAATAAGTATGTGTAAGAGGTAGAAATGTGCGTGCAAGCTTTAGCATCATGATACTTATTGTAGGTTTGTCATAATTTGTCTGTCTTTGAAGGGATGTGCGGACACTCAAGATGCTTTCTCTTTACATTTGCAGCAGTTTTTGCAGTTGTGTTCTAAAGACAGTCTCAAGTTTTTAGAAGTAAAAGTTCTGCCTAAGATCAGACATCACAAGTAGCTTGCCATTACGATTATTAGCCAAAACATCATCCCCTATGCACTGTTCTGAGATGAGTTGACTTAATTATTAAGGGGTTAAATTCCCTGACCTTGGTACTGCACCCTGTAAACCTGTCTTCTTCCGGACAAGAACTGGCATGTGAGTGAGTCTTAGCACTAATGCATAGTTCACACCTGGGCGTTTTGTAGCGTGTTCGAACGCTCTGCAAAACGCTCAAACATCGAAATTCCATTATTTCCTATGGGTATGGTTCACACCTGGGCGTATTACAGGCCGTATGAACGCGCTACTAAATGTCCTACGCCCAAAGAAGTACAGGAGCTTCTTTGGGGCATTTTTGTCTCGCGTTTCCATTGGGATACAGGCAAGTAGCCCTCGGAAACGAAAAACGCGAATCGCGGTAAAAACGCGCGACAAACGCGCATATTCGATACACCTAGGTGTGAACCCAGCCATAGTGTGTTTCCACTTTCGTAGTCAAATTTGAGATACCTGTACTATGTTTGTTATGTTTTCCCATTCACCAGGCATGCCTAGAATTTTTTTTAAAACACAATTTCTTTGGAGCAGGACTTTGGCCAGTCTTTCTCTAAGACAAGGGGGTGGGGTGCAGACTGAGTTTTCCCTCCTTACCATCTTGTCTTGAATTGTATTGTGATTGTAATGTCTTCCTTGTATTTTAAAGCGCTGCGCAAACTGTTGGCGCTATATAACTCCTGTATAATAATAATAATAATTAACATACAATGCTAGAAACCAAGATTTTCAATCCTTTCTTAGGACAGATCGTGTTCAAATCTAGTTGACAATTGATTATGAAATCTGCCAGCACAGCACAGACCAGGTTAATTATGATAAACATTACCTCCCTGCTCTCCTTATGTTCCGTCCGTGAAAGTATAGAGACTAGAAAAACTTAGTTTTGAGAAGAGCAAATAAAAAAGCAAATGGCAAGCAACCATTTTAAAATATTTAGCATTGTGCTATGAGAATAGTAACATGTAACAAATATAACATAGGTGTTATCCCAATTTCGCTGCCAAAATGGAAATACACTAGTAAAGAAAGCAAGCCCTTAGTGAAACGAGTCTTAGGAGGGCACGCAGAGGAGGGTTTTTGGCAAACAAAGGTAATCCCATAGCAGCTGCTTTGTCTGCCTAGCAGAAGCAGGGGAGGAGATCACTCTGATGAGACAGCTTTGTTTAGCAGGCAGGTTCAGGTACAGTGGTGAGAACCTTTTTGTAAAAGAAAACCTGCAATGGGAGGAATAAAGAATTCACCAATACTTTCTCAGTCACTAACATTATTAGTGGAGGAGAAGTAGTAGGCAGGGTGTCCTACAACTTACTGCCTTCCACCCACAACTGTTTTTTTTCCTTTGTGTTCCTTGCCTTGTGTCTTCAGCTGTCTTACAGTTTTATATTATGCGTGCTATAAACAACTAACCTTGATGTATCTGTTCACAGGAGCCCACGAAACAAAGAATAGATCGATTATCTAAAATGTAAGTTGTCCATCTGTTTAAAAGCTTCTCACTATTTGCAGTAGTAGCATCAGATACTTATCATATCTATATTATTTATGTGTTTGTATCCTAATAAAATACTATCATATAATATATTAGCAGGCTAGGCACCAGAATTTAGATGCTAGCTGTTTTTGAAGAAAAAAAGGTTAGCTATTCGCAAACTGTATCGTGCCTGGATAACTGTACTTGTAGAAATATTTTAATGTAAACAGAGTTACCAAGCAAGTTTTCATAGATAAACCCCCTCAACTTTGCCTTTATTTCAATTTGCTTTAAAAGCTGTCATCACAATCCCAACCCTTGTGTATATATTTCCCTGTGTGCATGTCCCTGTATGCAGTCTATCTACCTAAGTGAGAGTAAGGGAAGATCTGCTCCACATTTTATTCAGTTTCTTCTCTGCCAGGAGCCATAAATTATGAATTCTCTGCTGCAATGCACGCATGTAATCAGTGGAGATCAAAAGTCGCAAAATGCAGCTTCTCTCTTTAATATGTTTAGCAACAAATTAGAAGGACAGAGAACAAGGAAGGACCTTTCCAAATGTGCAAATTAGAAGGACAGAGAACAAGGAAGGACCTTTCTAAATGTGTAATCTGCATTTCACATTTGGCTTTCTGGGATTTTGTGAGATGGGGAGGGATTGTATGATGATTGTATGTATATGAGAGGGGAACAGCTGAGTTAAGCTACAGCCTTCAGTGTGCTTTTAGTTACATATTGCCAGCCAACCTCACACATTGCCTTTAAACATTTGCTAGTCCATTAACTATTCTGCAGTTTGATTTTAGTCTGCTTTTTAATTGTTTTGACAGAAGATCTTGGAGCTTTTAAATTAAAAGCCACAAATAATTATTTTTAAAAAACATTTTCTATAAAATTTTAAATTGCATTTGTTTAGATGATTTGTCCCCACCATTCTCATAACATCGGTATTCCCATATGAAATCTCTATTAGTAGGCCTGTTTTATTAAATTGTTTGTGTCTGTACAGAAGTTTCTAGGATCCATGGTGCTAGTATTCATTGTCTCACATATTTGTCTGAAGGATCAGGTGTGTAAATACCAGCACCACAAGAGAGCCACTTCATTTTTATAGAAGATTAACATGATCATAGGCAATTCTATCTGCTTAGGACTAAATGTCTGTGCAGTGACTAAGATCATGCTTGGGTGAAGCACATAAGCTGATTAAATTACCTATAATGACTAAACTTTTACATAAACGCAGAGTTTTCAGTTACCAGTTTGCTGCTTTGAGATGCTCGAGCCTAAATACTTATCCAGTAGGCTGCTTTGCTGCATCTGGCACAAGGTTTCCAGTCTACTTTAAATATGGATGGTCCGTCTTCTTTGCGGCCGTCTCCAGCCTAGCAGCATTTGCTGTCTTTCCTAATCCTGAGTCCCAGCTAGGAGAGAGGAAGAGATCAGAAAGTGTCCTCTTTTGGTATAGCGGAAACTTGTAAGATTTTGAGGTTTGGAAAGATGTTCTGTCATGTGATACAACATAATTACTTTGACAGCTGAAAAACCCTCCACCTTCCAAACATATTCATAAGCGTTTTGCCTGCCACCTGGAGTCTATCTGGCATGAGCAAATGTATTTATTATGAAAAATAATTGAATATTGCATGTGCACAACCTGACTTGCTTATTTCTATTTCCTTTTTTAGGTTAGAGGAAACCTCGAAACTTCTGAAATATTCAAATACTTCTTAGTACTGAACAATTTCTTTACAAGCGATTTGTACATTCTTTCTGTTCTGAAATCTGTAAAATAAAGTATTTTTTATAAGTATTTAAAACATTTTTGCTCTATAAATCACATTTCTGTTCTATGACATTTTTATATCTCCATCACATACTGGGTCATAGTTGTAATCCCAGCTAACAGGGAGCTGTGCTCTGAATTTTATTATCGGTGTAGGGTGACATCTGTCCTTCTCTGCAACTGGTAATAAGAAAGAGCGAGAGTTCTGTGTTGTAAGTAAAACCACAATTTCAAAGGTATTGAGAAATTATTAAATATTCTGAAAGTGTTATTTTCACACCTCGCCCATATGCCAGGCAGATTTCTTCAATATTTCAAACCATCATTTTTTTTTCCCCCATAAAAATAAAAAGTACAATGCTAACATAACAATTTCCTTATGAGTTGAGGTTTGATGTATCATGTTGGGTATGTATATGCTGTATTTTGAGAGAGGCCTGCAGTCCTAGATTTGTCTTAACATACTCACTGGCATGTGCTCACACATAATTAGGTTTATATTAACACACATCACAAATTGTAGTGGTGATGTGCGAAGTGAAACAAGCAAACAAATCAGACTATTGAAAGGCTGGTTGCAGTGAATTAGTGCCCTTTCTGTTCTTTTTGGTTTATTAAACATGCACACATTCATGTTTTATCTGCCAAAAATACCTGTCAAGCAGCACAACCTGGTCCTTGAACACTACTGCAACAGAAGCACAGCTGGGTTAAGAGCACACCCCCAGCCTGCTATTTGGACAGTAAAGGAGAAGCAGCATATGGATGAATCATCACTCTACAATTTCCTCCTGTCAGCATATTCACACCAAGCAGAGCCTCTCCCAGTCTGTGTCCAGCTGTAGGGAAAGTTAATATCAGGACAAATTCAGGTACTCACATGTATTTAAAAATACATAATTGACTTCAGATTATGGTGATGGAGTTAAAGTGTATCCAAACCCAAAAGCAAATACTTTATTCATTGTAGTTTACCATTCCTTAGATGTGGTGGCTGCATTAGTTGTCTTTTTTTAAGCTTTTTTTTTCCTTTGTTTCCACCTGGTGATCCAGCCTGTACATTTTTCAACTTTCTTTAGCAGACCAAGCTGTTCAGCAAAAGTGGCAGCTAAACGGTTAAGACAAACCGTTTATCACTGACAGGAGTGTTTACAGCTTTTATTCATTCATGTCAAACCTTTATCCCAAAAGAAAGAAAACATTTTTTACTCCAAGAGCTTAAAAAGTGGTACCTGGAGTTCGGATTTATGTGTTGGTAAAGTCCATCTAAATCTGCTAGCGGATCTAACACCACCCTACCTTCAGGGTTGATAGCCCTCGGAAACGAAAAACGCGAATCGCGGTAAAAACGCGCGACAAACGCGCATATTCGATACACCTAGGTGTGAACCCAGCCATAGTGTGTTTCCACTTTCGTAGTCAAATTTGAGATACCTGTACTATGTTTGTTATGTTTTCCCATTCACCAGGCATGCCTAGAATTTTTTTTAAAACACAATTTCTTTGGAGCAGGACTTTGGCCAGTCTTTCTCTAAGACAAGGGGGTGGGGTGCAGACTGAGTTTTCCCTCCTTACCATCTTGTCTTGAATTGTATTGTGATTGTAATGTCTTCCTTGTATTTTAAAGCGCTGCGCAAACTGTTGGCGCTATATAACTCCTGTATAATAATAATAATAATTAACATACAATGCTAGAAACCAAGATTTTCAATCCTTTCTTAGGACAGATCGTGTTCAAATCTAGTTGACAATTGATTATGAAATCTGCCAGCACAGCACAGACCAGGTTAATTATGATAAACATTACCTCCCTGCTCTCCTTATGTTCCGTCCGTGAAAGTATAGAGACTAGAAAAACTTAGTTTTGAGAAGAGCAAATAAAAAAGCAAATGGCAAGCAACCATTTTAAAATATTTAGCATTGTGCTATGAGAATAGTAACATGTAACAAATATAACATAGGTGTTATCCCAATTTCGCTGCCAAAATGGAAATACACTAGTAAAGAAAGCAAGCCCTTAGTGAAACGAGTCTTAGGAGGGCACGCAGAGGAGGGTTTTTGGCAAACAAAGGTAATCCCATAGCAGCTGCTTTGTCTGCCTAGCAGAAGCAGGGGAGGAGATCACTCTGATGAGACAGCTTTGTTTAGCAGGCAGGTTCAGGTACAGTGGTGAGAACCTTTTTGTAAAAGAAAACCTGCAATGGGAGGAATAAAGAATTCACCAATACTTTCTCAGTCACTAACATTATTAGTGGAGGAGAAGTAGTAGGCAGGGTGTCCTACAACTTACTGCCTTCCACCCACAACTGTTTTTTTTCCTTTGTGTTCCTTGCCTTGTGTCTTCAGCTGTCTTACAGTTTTATATTATGCGTGCTATAAACAACTAACCTTGATGTATCTGTTCACAGGAGCCCACGAAACAAAGAATAGATCGATTATCTAAAATGTAAGTTGTCCATCTGTTTAAAAGCTTCTCACTATTTGCAGTAGTAGCATCAGATACTTATCATATCTATATTATTTATGTGTTTGTATCCTAATAAAATACTATCATATAATATATTAGCAGGCTAGGCACCAGAATTTAGATGCTAGCTGTTTTTGAAGAAAAAAAGGTTAGCTATTCGCAAACTGTATCGTGCCTGGATAACTGTACTTGTAGAAATATTTTAATGTAAACAGAGTTACCAAGCAAGTTTTCATAGATAAACCCCCTCAACTTTGCCTTTATTTCAATTTGCTTTAAAAGCTGTCATCACAATCCCAACCCTTGTGTATATATTTCCCTGTGTGCATGTCCCTGTATGCAGTCTATCTACCTAAGTGAGAGTAAGGGAAGATCTGCTCCACATTTTATTCAGTTTCTTCTCTGCCAGGAGCCATAAATTATGAATTCTCTGCTGCAATGCACGCATGTAATCAGTGGAGATCAAAAGTCGCAAAATGCAGCTTCTCTCTTTAATATGTTTAGCAACAAATTAGAAGGACAGAGAACAAGGAAGGACCTTTCCAAATGTGCAAATTAGAAGGACAGAGAACAAGGAAGGACCTTTCTAAATGTGTAATCTGCATTTCACATTTGGCTTTCTGGGATTTTGTGAGATGGGGAGGGATTGTATGATGATTGTATGTATATGAGAGGGGAACAGCTGAGTTAAGCTACAGCCTTCAGTGTGCTTTTAGTTACATATTGCCAGCCAACCTCACACATTGCCTTTAAACATTTGCTAGTCCATTAACTATTCTGCAGTTTGATTTTAGTCTGCTTTTTAATTGTTTTGACAGAAGATCTTGGAGCTTTTAAATTAAAAGCCACAAATAATTATTTTTAAAAAACATTTTCTATAAAATTTTAAATTGCATTTGTTTAGATGATTTGTCCCCACCATTCTCATAACATCGGTATTCCCATATGAAATCTCTATTAGTAGGCCTGTTTTATTAAATTGTTTGTGTCTGTACAGAAGTTTCTAGGATCCATGGTGCTAGTATTCATTGTCTCACATATTTGTCTGAAGGATCAGGTGTGTAAATACCAGCACCACAAGAGAGCCACTTCATTTTTATAGAAGATTAACATGATCATAGGCAATTCTATCTGCTTAGGACTAAATGTCTGTGCAGTGACTAAGATCATGCTTGGGTGAAGCACATAAGCTGATTAAATTACCTATAATGACTAAACTTTTACATAAACGCAGAGTTTTCAGTTACCAGTTTGCTGCTTTGAGATGCTCGAGCCTAAATACTTATCCAGTAGGCTGCTTTGCTGCATCTGGCACAAGGTTTCCAGTCTACTTTAAATATGGATGGTCCGTCTTCTTTGCGGCCGTCTCCAGCCTAGCAGCATTTGCTGTCTTTCCTAATCCTGAGTCCCAGCTAGGAGAGAGGAAGAGATCAGAAAGTGTCCTCTTTTGGTATAGCGGAAACTTGTAAGATTTTGAGGTTTGGAAAGATGTTCTGTCATGTGATACAACATAATTACTTTGACAGCTGAAAAACCCTCCACCTTCCAAACATATTCATAAGCGTTTTGCCTGCCACCTGGAGTCTATCTGGCATGAGCAAATGTATTTATTATGAAAAATAATTGAATATTGCATGTGCACAACCTGACTTGCTTATTTCTATTTCCTTTTTTAGGTTAGAGGAAACCTCGAAACTTCTGAAATATTCAAATACTTCTTAGTACTGAACAATTTCTTTACAAGCGATTTGTACATTCTTTCTGTTCTGAAATCTGTAAAATAAAGTATTTTTTATAAGTATTTAAAACATTTTTGCTCTATAAATCACATTTCTGTTCTATGACATTTTTATATCTCCATCACATACTGGGTCATAGTTGTAATCCCAGCTAACAGGGAGCTGTGCTCTGAATTTTATTATCGGTGTAGGGTGACATCTGTCCTTCTCTGCAACTGGTAATAAGAAAGAGCGAGAGTTCTGTGTTGTAAGTAAAACCACAATTTCAAAGGTATTGAGAAATTATTAAATATTCTGAAAGTGTTATTTTCACACCTCGCCCATATGCCAGGCAGATTTCTTCAATATTTCAAACCATCATTTTTTTTTCCCCCATAAAAATAAAAAGTACAATGCTAACATAACAATTTCCTTATGAGTTGAGGTTTGATGTATCATGTTGGGTATGTATATGCTGTATTTTGAGAGAGGCCTGCAGTCCTAGATTTGTCTTAACATACTCACTGGCATGTGCTCACACATAATTAGGTTTATATTAACACACATCACAAATTGTAGTGGTGATGTGCGAAGTGAAACAAGCAAACAAATCAGACTATTGAAAGGCTGGTTGCAGTGAATTAGTGCCCTTTCTGTTCTTTTTGGTTTATTAAACATGCACACATTCATGTTTTATCTGCCAAAAATACCTGTCAAGCAGCACAACCTGGTCCTTGAACACTACTGCAACAGAAGCACAGCTGGGTTAAGAGCACACCCCCAGCCTGCTATTTGGACAGTAAAGGAGAAGCAGCATATGGATGAATCATCACTCTACAA